TAATTGGTTTTGGTATATATGCAAAAAAGGCTACAAAGAGCATACTTGATGGGATAATAGACACAGTTTCTGCAGTTCATCTTCTTATGCCACTACTAAGCTTATTGAAGACCAATGGTAAGCTTGTATTGGTTGGTCTCCTGGAGAAACCCCTTGACTTGTTGGTGTTTCCAATGGGTATGTAATATTAGCCACAATTCCATTCACGTGTTGTACATATCTTTGCTCCACCTTGGCATTGATCTAAAATGAACTAAATGACTTTGATTTCATGTTTTGATTGTGGATCACAGTTAGAAAATTGGTTGCAGGAAGTGGCATCGCTGTAATAAATTAAAGGAGACTCAAGCCAACATAACATCACACCAGATGTTGAGATTGTGCCGATGGACTATGTCAACACCGCCATGGAACGTCTAGCCAAAGCCGACGTGAAATACGGATTCGTATTGGATTTTTCCACAGAGGAATAGGATGGATTGAAAAGGCAGGCATGTAGAATATGCAAATTGTAAGGAAGATGATGTAAATATTAAATTATTAGATGTTAATAATAATTTAAATGTATGAATTTATATATTGTTCAGTATATTGTATTTTTTGAATTTATATTTATTTGGTAATCAACACAAGATAACAACTGTCTAATAAAAAATGCAACTACCATTCAAACTAATAGTTTGAAGAGTATATGTACAACTACACAAACCCGTAGTATTAATAACATTTAGATGATCAAAACAAACAGTTGTTTGAAATACTACAAAAGCAGTAGTTCATATTTTTAAAATACAACGGAAAATAATGGTTGTCTGAAGCAAATTTCTTTAGTAATCTTTAGAGTAGCTATCTGATAAACAATTCAACTACTGTCATAAAAGATAGTTTGAATACTTCAAGGAAAACTACAAAACACCGTTGTGTTAATAATCAATATACAACAAAAGATAACAGTTTGTCTGATGGCATTTTTGTTTAGTAGTCTTCCGAGCAGCAGTCTGATATATCTTTCAACTACTTTTTAAAGTAGATGTATATATTGTTGAACGACAACACCAAGAATTAGAAGTCTAAAGTTAAAAACAACAGTAGTATTCATTATAGATAGACAACAAAAAACCACAGTTCTCTTTAACTCTAAAAAACAGATGTCTTACTCATACAAGGACAACACTAAAAAGTCGTACTCTAAAACATTACAAAATAGGTGTCATCAACCATTTTACACAACTGTTTTTAAACAATAGTCTGTAAATATATCAGACAGCTGCTCGGAAGACTACTGAAATCAGCACCGTGAGACTACTAAAAGAAACAGTTGTCAGCATCTATTTTTGACGTAGTGGAGCCTTGATGATCTCTCCGATCAGATGAAGAAGATGGAAGACCGGGAGGCACGCCGTAAGCACCACGAGGATCGCGCTTCTAGACGCACCTAAGGGTTGGGCATTTGATCGGCTTTGGCCTTTTTTCGGTCGGTTTGATGGGCACATATGGGTTGGGCATTTGAACCGACAAAATAGCCAACCATCCTCGTCTGGTCCAATTTTTGAGACAATTGTTTGGGAAGGTAAGTATTTATAAAATCTTTATTATAATATTGTATGTCATTTATTTATTTAAATATAATTAGCTTATGTACTTAAATCCGTTAAGACATTAATTAGAAATAAGATCTTTAGGGCCTCTTTTTCTGTCTCGGCCCAGGCCATTGAGTTCTCAGGGCCGGCCCTGGTTTAATTAATCTTAATTATTTTTAATTTATTTTATTAAATGGGCAACGAAAATAGACAAATAAAATGAATAATGTTTAACTTTCTGAATAGTGAATAAGAAGAAAGTATGTGGATGGAGGAAGTAATCAATAATAAATTTACAATAAGCATCCTATTGTTCCATCTTTTTTGTTCATTATATCGAATTCATTATTATTGTTATAAGTCATCCAGGGGATTAAAAAAGTCCATCACATACTCCATAAATTATATTGATAAATAGGCGTTATGTAAGAGAGTTAAAATAATAAGATGACTAGATCATAATTTACAAAACTGGAGAATGGCATTTTGAACCAATAATGGTTTAACTCCTCAAAGGACGAAATCTAGGATTTCTCATCCAAAAAAAGGGAGAAAAAAACAGTGAAAATTAACCAACTTCGACACGATTGTGATCGTTGGTGTCCGGAAGCACATTCAGAGGGGTACAAAGCCGTACGGAAGAAAGTGCCTTGTCGAAATGCTTGGCTTTGGTTCCAAGGTATTCACTCCAAGTGATGTCCCTATACAGCGGTGGCTGCCCCTTGGGCAGCGGCGATATCTTCACCGCCGGCGGCGGACCGTACAGATACGCCACCGACATCCGGTGCCGGCTACGGTTCACCACCGCCCGGTGGAGCACGCTGTTGTACACCCCATTTGAGAGTATGTGGAGGAGGTCGCCGACGTTGACCACCAGTGCCCCTGGGACCGGTGGGACCCCCACCCACCCACACCCTTCCCGAAACACCTGGAGCCCACTGGTGTTGTTCTGGTGGAGGATGGTGAGGAGGGTGGAGTCGGTGTGTTCTGCCAGACCCATTGCCCGACCCGGATCCGGACATGCCGGGTATGAGTTGAGTTGGATGGCGGAACACCTTCCTTTGGATTGATCTCCTCTGGACCCAACGGCCCATTTCACCTCTTCCTCGGAAACCCCTATGGACTCCAGAATTAGCTTCATCAGCCTACCCGCCAACTTTCTCATTTCATTTTCATATTCTTCCACTATGTCACTGAAACAAACAAAAATAAAATCAATTAATATACGTGGCATATTGGACAGATCAAACAAATGGACAACCTATTTAGTGCAACAAGATTACGATGACAAAAAGATGTTGCCTCCTTTAATACTCACTCGTCTCTAAAAACTTGACACAATTTAACTTTTTTGTGTGAAATGTGTTATTTTTTGACCATGAATTATGCAAAAAGTTTATTCAGTTATTATTTAAATTTAGTAAAATTGGATTTATTTTAAAATAAAATTTTAAAATATTAAATTTTATAATAATTAATTATTTTAAACTTTTTTTTAATTTATAGTCAAAGGATGCCACAGTTTAACAATTTTGTCAAACTGTGACAATCTTTTAAGGACGCGGGGAGTAGTATTTATACACATATACCCTTCCATCCCATTAAACAAAAATCACATTACACATATTAGTATAATACTCCCTTCGTCCCAAAAAGTTTGTCCCATATTGACTAAAGTGGTAAAATAAGGAGGGATATTTTGGTGTTAACTTTCCAAAAATACCCTTGATGTGATGGGTAAAAGTAGTATGTTATGGGTAGATTATTAGAAAAAACGTATGATGTGATAGGTAGGGTATGAAAAAGTAATGGGTAAAAGTGGTTTTTTAATAGAAATGGAACGGACTTTAAGGAACACATTTTTTTCGAAACATGACAGACTTTTTAGGATGAAGGGAGTAATAGTTTATTTTTATTTATCTAATCCTACTTTCTTTTCTGAATATTTGTCCAATTCTGACATTTTGGAATCTCTTAATATTTTCAATTTTTGACTTATATTTAAGTAAAATATACTCCGTATATGGTATATTATTAATCAACTGAAATAAGATTTTGAAAATATGTTATAAAATAAATCTAAGACATCAATTTTATTTAATTTGTAGATAAAATTCAACAATTTTGAGTGAAAAGACAAATATTGAGTATGGAGGTAGTAAAATAAAAGTACTGTAGGTACCAGAAAAAGGTATAGTCTTGGGGCCATAGAAGGCGGGCATGCTCAAGGGGGGAGCCGACGATGGTGAAGCCTTCAGACCACATACGTTTGGGGAAGAAGCAAGAAATCCGGGCGACCCCGTAGCCTGAAACGCCGTCCACGGGGGAGCGGGCCGCCTTGAGCTTCTGACTCAGTGGGAGGGAGAAGAGGCTTTTTCCGGCGGACTCGATCCGGTCCAGCAAGTCCTGGGGAACCCCGTGGTTTTTCACCTGAAACGCCCCCCATGTCTTGCATGCCAGCCCTATCACCTCCGCCGCCTTGGCCTCACCGCCCGCGAGGTCGATCACCGGAACGGATTCGGCCTCCGGGGAAGCGTCGGCCGTCGGGGCGGGGGACAGGTTGGCCCATGCATGGGACTCCGGCAGCTCCTTTGCGGAGTTCAAGTCGAGTTGTTTGTGTATTTGGGCATAGGTAGGGCGGCGGGGTTGGACGACGTCGTATGAAGGCATAGTGACGAGGTTCGCCCGTTGTCTGACAACGAGTTCACGTACGTTTATTTCTGGCAATACATGCGTTGCCATCATTTGGAGCTTTATATAGAGGCGATGAATGGAAGGGGGGACGAGGAAGTGCTGGTACATATGTACGGTGAAATAATAATAATAATAATAATAATAATAATAATAATAATAATAATAATAATAATAATAATTATTATTATTATTATTATTATTATTATTATTATTATTATTATTATTATTGTTGTTGTTGTTGTTGTTGTTGTTGTTTTTATTAATATATTATTGTTATTATTATTATAATCATTATTATTATTATTTTTGTTATTAAAAAAGAGTTAATTTTTTATTTTTTGTGCATGAAAGGAGACAAGAACAATAATAATGCTGTAATTGTTCAAGTGGATGTGAAACTTGTTTAGAGGTGAAAAATATACCGAGTAACTTCGGAAAAATGATGAATAGGAGTACTTAAAAGAGTATTTGTTCGGTGCATTTTAGCTCGATATAATTTTTATAGACTTTCTTGCACAAAAAATATATCTTTATATTAAAAAAGGATGCTTATTTAAGCAGTGAGAAAATGTTTATCTTACTCATATCTAGGTTCAGAATAGACCTTAGGTGTATCAAAGAATTTTCCATAGTTAAAATGATGTCCCGCAATAATGTTTCATTTTAATATTCGAAGAGTCGGACTAAATTCAATTCACTTTTTAAACCTATTTTCATTGATCACTTGATAGAAAAAAAAATTTCTAGTCACAACTTACTTCGTAGATATTTTGAAATAGTTTTTAAGTATGATATGTTCTTCCATGATCCTAAGGTCTACATGTGAAATCTGCACCTTTATATACTTTTCATGAGCTGGCAAATGAATCTGTATTTTTCGTAAAAAGTTCAACTTTTTATGATATCAACACACTAAAGTGCATAAAAAGAACATGAACCTAAGACCATGTAAGATTTGCCTTTGCCGTTTGGTACGTACTTTTTTCATCTTCCAAATAAGTTCTCATTTACTTGGAAGAGAAGTTAAAAAGGAAGAAATCTCTTTTATAAATCTGAAAAAGTATAAAAATACCAAAATAGGACTCCTAAATTTTCTAAGGCCAAAACATAAATATAATATTAGCATATTAGTGTATATATATTGTATTCTTTATTTGTATTTGGGGCTCCTCGTTTGTATCACCACCGGGGCTCTTCGTTTGTATCGCTCATGTATACTTTTACGGACTCATGTATCAATGAAACTTAACCAATTCATTCCCAAAATTCTACATGGTATCAGATAAGGATTACATGTGATTGTGTCCATCCGTTTGCAAAAAAAAGGTGGTGTGGGGTCACATTGCTTAGAAAGGGTTTTGTTTGGTGTCAAACATCAGCATCAGATTGATATACCAATATGACTTCTACCTCGTATGAATGGTTGATTGATATAGGCGCCTCTCATTATATGACAGGGATTCTGTCTCATTTATTCCGTATTGAGGATGTGACTCCTCAGTCTATTTGTCTCCCTGATGGTTCTCGTATCCAGGCAAGCAAACAGGGAAGTATGTGCTTATCTCCCAATTTGGTTCTCCATAATGTTTTATATGTCCCAAACTTGCACTGTCATTTGGATTCTGTTGGTTGTTTGGTTCAAGAAACTACTTGTCATGTTCTTTTTAATGATCAATGTTGTGTAATACACGACCGATTGTCGAAGACGGAGATTGGACAGGGTGAACTGTGAAACGGAGTGTATGTCTGTGCCTCATACCCAACGTCGGCCCTTCTTGTCAAGTCGAATCCATTCGTTCTACACCAACGATTGGGTCACCCTTCCTCTAATGTTTTTCCCTTTCTTGGTTACAATAAAACAGGTTCTGTTATCAAAAAATTACAAACATGTGAAATTTGTTTTCTGTCCAACCAAACTCGTTCATCGTTTCCCATTAGTCAAAATAAAGTCGATGCCATTTTTGATTTAATTCATTGTGATTTATTGAGACCTTATTCTGCTTGTATATCATCTGGGCACATTATTTTCTTACCGTTGTCGATGATTTTTCTTGAGCTGTCTAGGTTTATCTCATAAAACACAAAAGTGAGGTCACATCTTATCTCAAACGTTTCTTTGCTATGATAAACACCCAATATTCCAAAATTATAAAAATAGTGCGCTCTGACAATGGTACTGAGTTCCTTAATACTTCTTTGCGTCAATACTATATATGATGATTTGGGTGTTTGTATTCAAACCTCCTGCGCAGGTACACCACAACAAATTGGTCGAGTTGAACGAAAGCATCGTCATATATTAAATGTTGCTCGATCTCCTATGTTTCAAGCATCACTTCCTATTGAATTCTGGGGGGAGTGTGTCAAAACTGCAGTCTATCTCATCAACCGCACTCCCACCAAACTTCTCGGGGGTAAGTCTCCTCTTGAGATTCTTTCCTCTAAACCACAAGATTTAAGCCATCTCCGTGTCTTTGGTTGTTTGTGCTTTGTTCGTCGAATGCCAAACCCATTAGATAAATTTTCTCCCCAAAGTGTGAAATGTATGTTTGTTGGTTATCCTTACGCTACCAAAGGATGGCGAGTATACAATCTTGAAACTAATCAATTTTTTTCACACTCGGGATATCTCATTTAATGAAACCCAATTGTCGTTTGCCCACCCTACACGGTCCCCATCACTCCTACCCGTCTTGAAACCATCGACGGAGGATTTCCCGGCCACTGTCAACCTGTCCTAGCCGTCGCCAGTTGTTCCTCCCGTCACATCTCAGCCCATCATCCCACAGACGCAACATACACCATCAACTGACTCCTCTCCACCGTCATCTCCTTCACCGTCTTCTTCCTCCGAAAACGACGACAGTCCCGTCACCTCTCCATCACCGCCCCCTCCTCCGCTGCCACCACGTACTCGGCGTCTTCCCTCTCATCTCAGTGACTATGTTCTTTATTTCGCCAAAGTCAACACTTCGGTTCTCTCTTCATCTAGTTCGTCTTCGTTAGGTACACGGTTTCCTATTACTCACTTTGTTCATTATAATAAATTGCATGACAGGTACAAAAGTTTCTTGGGTGCAATTGATGCATCTCCCATTCCTAAAACTTTCAAAGAGGCTGTTCACTATGCTTCATGGCGTGAAGCTATGGCTCAAGAGTTCTTGGCTCTAGAGCATAATCATACTTGGGATATTACTGACCTTCCTCGTAACTGGCGTGCCCTGGGTTGTCAATGGGTGTACAGAACCAAATATAAATCTAATGGTAGCAAGGAATGGGATAAAGCTCGGTTCGTTGTATTGGGGAATCACCAAGAGTTCAGGATTGATTTTACTGATACGTTTGCTGCCATGTGTGTGGTTCGCTATCTAAAAGGCCATCCTAGATAGGGTATTTTGTTACGAAGTGACTGTAACCTTGCTCTGACTTCCTTCCCAAATTCAGACTCGGCGAGTTATCCTCTTACGTGTCGTTCTGTTACTGGTTATTTTATCCCACTTGGAGGGTCACCCGTCTCTTGGAGAAGTAAGAATCAGAATACTGTATCTCGATCTTCCACTGGAGCCGAGTACCGGGCTATGGCGAACGCCTTTGATGAGATTCGTTGGCTACGGGGTCTCCTCGCCGCATTATATGTCCCGTGTGTTGCTACTCCTAAATTATATTGCGACAATAAATCTGCTTTGTTTATTGCTGCTAATCCTGTGTTTCATGAGTGTTCGAAGCACATTGATATTGATTATCATATTGTCAGGGAATGTATTCAACGCAATCACATCGTCACAACTTATGTTCCCACGGGATTCCAAACAGCAGATATTTTCACTAAAGCTCTTCCTGGACCATTATTTCATTCTTTGTTATCCAAGTTGGTCATTTTTTATATTCATGCTTGATACGACCACGGAGGCGCAGGTCGTAGGAGAGGAACCAGGAGGTCAAACGACGACAACGGAGCCTAGGAGAAGTGGTCGGGTCAGAGGTGCGCCACGTTGGCAAGAGGATTACAACATGCAGTGATTATGTTTTATTTATTTCCAGGCTATGAACATTTAATTATTATTGTTACGTAGATTTTCTTAGGTGAGCGAATTATAAGCTCCTTCGAGGGTTTCTTTACGGTTCTTTACCTCGTCGCTTTTATTGAACCGTCAGGATAGATAATTTAGTAACTAGGGTTTGGGGTTCTCTACCTATAAATAGAGGATACCTATTTACGGAATAATAAGGAAGATTAAACTCCTAAACCCTAACCTCCTTTTCTCTTCTCTCTCTCCCTACCGTACACTGTACGTAGGGTTTCTACCCCCTTCCCCTTTGTTTCTCTTCTCTCCCTCGTCGGCAGCATCTAGTGAAGCCAGGAGGAGCCTAAATCCTCCCCTTGAGTGATACTAGGTCGTATCATTGGTGCTCTTGTTGAGTTTCTTGTTGCATCAACATGTCGAACGGTACCGTTAACACCGCTTTGTTCGAGGTATTTCAGCAGCAAATTGAGAGTCAGTTTTGTTCCCAAACTTCTGCTATGCAACAACTCCATCTCATAGTTCAACAGGTCCAACGTGATATTTCGGGTTTGCTTGCACGGCGGATAAAACCAGCGACGACTCGGGCATGGGCGGCAAAGGGCGTGGGCCTGAAGCTTCTCACGAGGTAATCCCATCTCTAAGCTTATGATCGATATGCCGAAGTGCGACGGGAGTGATCCGCTGGGCTGGCTGTTTAAAGCTCATGAATACTTTACTTTTTATGGGATTCCGGAGGAGTCTCGTTTGTCGGCCGTATGCCTCATGCTTGATGGCGCGGCTTTGGATTGGTTTCGGTGGAAACAGCGTAATCACCTCTTACCTTCATGGCCTGATTTTGTCACCAAGTTCAAACTCCGGTTTGATCCGCTTATCTACGTCGACTATTTTGGGTTACTCTCTAAAGTCCGCCAAACTGGATCGGTTCTGGATTATCAACAAGCTTTCGAAAAAGTCTTGGTGAATGTCACGGGTGTTGACGAAGCTAACTTGCAATGTTTGTTTCATGCCGGTTTAAAATCTCACCTCCAACATGAGATTATGCTCCAGAAACCGGACTCTCTGTCGGCATCATTTGCTTTGGCACGTGAATCGGAGGCCAAACACGCTACATGGGCGTCCTCTATCTTGTCACGGCCTACTTCGTGGGGGAAATCCGGACAACCCAGCTCCACCCCGCCACTCTTGCCAACGCCGGGGGCCAAGCCAACCACTGCCGCGCCACCAACACAACCACCCATTCAGCGTTTATCACGGGCAGATAAATTAGAACGGGATGCCAAAGGATTATGCTACAACTGTGACGAAAAGTGGACTAAAGGACACCGTTGCGGTCGCTTCCTTCTACTCATTGAAGACGAGGACGACACGGACGACTAGCAGCCCTTGGATGATACGGTGCTTGCTGCTGATGTCTCATCTTTGAATAGCCTGGCCGGTGTCACCACCCCCCGTTCCTTGCGATTATCAGGCATGCTTTCGGAGTCTGTTGTGGAAGTTCTCATCGACAGCGGAAGTACCCATAACTTCATCCATCCATCAATTGTGGAGAGGTTACACTTAGCCGTTCATGATGTTCCGACCTTTCGGGTTTATGTGGGCAATGGGGCGTCTTTGGTTTGTAACATGCAGTGCCGTGACCTCCAACTACTTCTCCAAGGCACGGTTTTTCCGGTGGACGTGTACGTACTGTCCATCCATGGGCCGGACATCGTACTTGGTGTGCAGTGGCTTCAACTTTTGGGACGGGTCACTCATGATTATGCAAAGCTCACGATGGAATTTTCATGGAAGGGCGAACCCGTCGCGTTATGTGGGGGCACCCAAACCCCGAAGCCCGTCACGGCCCATCACTGCCACGCCTTGACGTCAAACAAGAAATCGCGACATGCTTTGAGATCACCCTATCCGACCATGTCTCGCAAGACACTAGCTCCGATTTTAATCTGCCCGACCACCTACCGGCCGCGATCAGGGATGTCCTCCTCCGTCACCGGTCCGTGTTCGGCATGCCAACCGGGCTTCCACCGCGGCGTTTGGCAGACCATCGCATATTTTTACAGCCAGGTTTGGATCCGGTGAATGTACGGCCCTACCGCTACCCTCAATTCCAAAAAAATGAAATTAAACGTTTGGTGCGAGAAATGCTGGAACATGGATTAATTCAGCCTAGCCGGAGTCCCTTTTCGTCCCCGGTTTTGCTTGTCAAGAAAAAGGACGGCTCTTTCCGTTTCTGCGTTGACTACCACGCTTTGAATGCGGTAACTGTACCCGACCACTTTCCGATTCCAACGGCAGACGAATTCTTTGATGAACTTGGAGCGGCACGGGTTTTCACAAAACTGGATTTACGCTCAGGGCACCACCAGATTCGCATGCACGACCGGGACATTTACAAAACAGCGTTCCGTACCCATGAAGGCCATTATGAATTTCGTGTTATGCCGTTCGGATTAACTAACGCGCCATCCACATTTCAAGCCTGCATGAACCGTTTGTTCTCGGCCTACTTACGCAAGTTCGTCATTGTTTTCTTTGACGATATATTGATTTATAGTTCGTCTTTACTGGATCACGAGAAGCACCTGGCAGTGGTGTTGGGCATCCTGTGGTCTCATGATTTCTATGTCAAGTTTTCCAAATGCTATTTTTGTACACCATCAATTGCATATCTCGGACACATTATTACTGATGGGAATCTCAAGGCCGATCCGGAGAAGATTTCGGCCATGTTGGACTGGCCGTTACCAAACACTTTGCGGAAGTTGCGCGGGTTTCTTGGCTTAACAGGGTATTACCGACGGTTTATTTATCACTACGCTTACTTGGCAGCCCCCTTGACAGATCTGCATAAAAAGGAGTCATTTCATTGGACACCGGCAGCCACGGCGGCTTTTGAGGCTTTGAAGCAGGCCCTAACCACGGCACCACTGTTGCGGTTGCCAGATTTTGGGGTCCTATTCGTCGTAGAGACGGATGCATCTGGAACGGGTATCGGCGCGGTTCTCCTTCAGCAAGAGCAGCCCATTGCCTATTTTAGTAAAAAATTGGGCGTCCGGAGGTTAGCGGCCTCCACTTATCAGAAAGAATTATACGCCATCGTCGGGTCCGTTCAGAAATGGAGGCAATATCTTCTTGGGCGGGAGTTTCTAATACGTACTGACCAACAGAGTTTACGGGAACTATTGGATCAAGTCATTCAAACGCCGGACCAGCAGTTCTATGTCCGCAAACTTTTGGGTTTCCGCTTTCGTATCGAATATAAATCGGGCCGAACAAACTCCGTGGCAGATGCTTTGTCACGTAAGCCCGAGGAGAGCATGGCAGTGACCCAATTCATGGAAATATCACAGCCCATACTGGAGATTTTGAAGCAGATTAGGGCAGAAAATTTGTCCCAGCCAGACCTGGTGCATCTGCATGCAGCTCATCGGGGTGGTTTGCTACAGCCCCCCTACACTGTTGAGGATGGTCTCTTATTTTATAATCGACGTTTATGCATCGGCACAGCTTCGGACTTGTGGACAGCCCTACTCCGAGAGTACCACGACACCCCAATAGCGGGCCATGCCGGGGTCACTCGCACTTTCCAACGCCTCGCCGCCAACTTCTTTTGGCCCAACATGCGTCGAGATGTCCGTCGCCACATCGGGGAGTGCGTGATCTGCCAGGCGACCAAGTTCTCTACCCAACCCCCGGCCAGACTTCTTCAAGCGCTACCAATTCCCCATCGGGTGTGGGAGGACGTGAGCATGGATTTCATCACCGGTCATCCAGTCTCTCAGGGGTACTCTGTTATTTTGGTGGTCGTGGACCGGTTCTCCAAATATGCACATTTTGGTCCCTTACCCGCCAACTACGACGCACATCGCACGGCTTTTCTCTTCGTCGATATGGTTATCAAGTTGCATGGCTTTCCCCGCACAATTGTGTCAGATAGGGACAAGATTTTCACAAGCACTTTCTGGCGAAAATTACATCATCTCAGTGGCACTACCCTCACCCACAGTAGCACCTTCCACCCCCAGACTGATGGGCAAACGGAGGTGATGAATAGGACGTTGGAGCAATATCTCCGTGCATTTGTCCACGCACAGCCACAACGCTGGACGGTGCTACTCCCTTGGGCAGAGTATTCTTTGAACACCAACTACCACGCCGGCATCCGCACCACACCGTTTCAGGCAGTTTACGGTCGCCCCCCCTGAGTTGGTGCCATACCGCGTCGGGACGAGCCAAGTGGCGACGGTTGAGGATGTGTTGGCCGAACGGGAGGCCTTGATACGTCAGTTGAGGGATAACTTAAAGGCTGCCCAGAATCGTATGAAAGTATTGGTAGACACCAAGCGGCGGGAGGTGACATATGCAATTGGCGATTGGGTCTTATTGCGCCTCCAGCCATACCGACAACATTCGGTGGCACGGCGTTCATCTCAAAAGTTGTCTCTCCGCTTTTATGGGCCTTTTCAGAACACGGAGCGAATTAGGGAAGTGGCTTACCGTCTGCGTTTCCCGGAGACGTCCAAAATCCACCCGGTTTTTCATGTCTCGGTGTTGCGTCCATACCGAAGCAATCGGCCAGAGGTCAACATTCTTCCCCTCCCAGAAAACTTGCCGCACGGTTGTCCTATTTCCGAGCCGGTGAAAGCACATGTGTCGCGTCGGATATTGCGTCATGGGGTGCCTGAGGATCAGTGGTTGGTTAGTTGGAACGATGGGTCGCTGGACGATGCTACATGGGAGCCGGTCACCCTACTCCGGGAGAAATTTCCCTAGCTCCACCTTGAGGACAAGGTGGCCATTGAAGGGCGGGGGAATGATACGACCACGGAGGCGCAGGTCGTAGGAGAGGAACCAGGAGGTGAAACGACGACAACGGAGCCACGTTGGCAAGAGGATTACGACATGCAGTGATTATGTTTTATTTATTTCCATGCTATGAAAATTTAATTATTATTGTTACGTAGATTTTCTTAGGTGAGTGAATTATAAGCTCCTTCGAGGGTTTCTTTACGGTTCTTTACCTCGTCGCTTTTATTGAACTGTCAGAATAGATAATTTAGTAACTAGGGTTAGGGGTTCTCTACCTATAAATAGAGGATACCTATTTACGGAATAATAAGGAAGATTAAACTCCTAAACCCTAGCCTCCTTTTCTCTTCTCTCTCTCCCTACCGTACACTCTACGTAGGGTTTCTACCCCCTTCCCCTTTGTTTCTCTTCTCTCCCTCGTCGGCAGCATCTGGTGAAGCCAGGAGGAGCCTAAATCCTCCCCTTGAGTGATACTAGGTCGCATCAATGCTCCAACTTGAGGGGGAGTATTAGCATATTAGTATATATATTGTATTCTTTATTTGTATTTGGGGCTCCTCATTTGTATCACCACCGGGGCTCTTCGTTTGTATCGCTCATGTATATTTATACGGACTCATGTATCAATGAAACTTAACCAATTCATTCCCAAAATTCTACATATAATGACAATGTGATGTAAAAATTGTTGCAATGTGATACAAAAGTGAGAATAATATAATATCGTAGTGTGATCAGTCAAGCACCAACATATCACTGGTAAACATTGATGATCGATGATGATGTTTTGATGGCTTGCAGCAAGGAATGGTAGTGTGGGAGTGATACTGTGACAGTTACAATGTGACAATTTGGTAAGGGGCTGTTTGTTTCAGCCTCTTAATGGTTCAGATGTTTGAATGGTTCAGCACTTAATGGTTCAGACTGTTTGTTTCAGCCTTTTAATGGTTCAGATGTCTGAATGGTTAAGAGATTTGCCTCTGAATGGTTAAGTATTATACAGAGTCTGAATGGTTAAGACTTCTTATCTGAATTGATCAGACATTTGCCTCTGAATAGTTAAGCAATATACTAGCTCTTAATGGTTCAGACCTCTTGCTGGTTCAGCACTTAATGGTTCAGACCTCTTACTGGTTCAGCACTTACCGATTCAGAAGTTGCCAAACAGCCCCTAAGTGTGATAGTGTAGTAATGACAATATAAATTCTAATTTTTGTTTTAAAATACTGACACCTACTTTGCTGTTTTTATAGCTTTTTACTCTTATCCGAGAAGTTCTCCTTTAAAAGCTACTTCATTCGTCTAGGTTTATATTTGGTTCCTCCCGTCTCCATGTTTCAATTTGGATTTTAGACGCTTACTAAATTTATTTTTTAATCAATTTTTTATGAATATTTGGTAAAAATTGAAAAATAAAAATTACATATTTAAAACTGTATCAATTATTTTATACTGCCTCTGTCCTAAATTATGTTGGTTGTTTATTACTTATAGAGTTAAATTAAACTTCATTCATATTTTTTCACTATTTTCATTATTTATTTGATAAAATAATAAAGTCGATCATGTCACTTTTTTCGTAGAAGTTTTGATGTACTTTTTAATATATACTCCTTTTTAATATTTTATTTATGGGAAAGTTTACTTTGGTTTGAGCCCCATCAGAGGCATAGGCATTAGCCCCTTTGTACATCATTAGGTTGAAAAAATATGTACAGATCAGA